CCTGTATACAGAACTCTCCACCCAGCAAGAGTACAGTATACGTTATTTTCTAGATCAAATGGAACATTCTCCAGAAGAAACCATTTGTTAACCTACAAAACACACCTCAATAAATTTTAAAACACTGAAATGATACAAAGTATCTTCTCAGATCCCAACTCTACAAAACTCCCTGTAACAAAAGTCCTGACCCAGATAGCTCCATTGTTGAATTCCACCAAGAATTCAGAGAACAGAAGACACTAATTTCACTCAATCTATTCTAGAATGTAGAAAATAATTGAATACCTCTGAATTCATTTAGTGAAAAAAAGCGTAATTCTAATACCAAGTAAAGACATTATAAATATCCCTCATGAACATAGACACAAAAATTCTTAAACCAATCCTACCCAATATAATTTAACACCATTATGAAAAAAGTAAATGAGGGGGCTTCAAAAGTTCACAGAAAAATTCAATTATATTTCAATTTCATTCTTTCATGGACTTTGTGCATGCACTTTATATAGCACGACCAGGTGGGATTCTTACCTCATATGCAAAGATCAGTCAACATTGGTAAAACAATGTAATCCACTACTTAAAGAAAACAGTCATATGTGGGCATATTAGTTAATGCAGAAAAGGCATTTGTTGAAATCCAACACGCATTCCTGCTTTTAAAACTCAGTAAAATAGAAAAATTCCTCATCAGAATTAAGAGTATACTCATAAAACCAGTGGTAAACATTAATTCTCAATGGAGAAAGACTGAACTCATTCCCCAGCTGAATGGGAACCAGACAAGGATGTCCTTTATCTCCACTCCTATTCAGTATTACATTGAAAGTTCTAGCCAGCTAAGTAAGGCATGAAAAGTAAATAAGAGGCACCTAAATTGGTAAAGAAGAGGGAAAACCATCCCCCATTGCAGCTTTTATGATACTCCTAAACGTGGAAAAGGAGTCTCTGTGGCAGTATCAGTCAAATCTACCAGTGCTCTGTGGAATAAAGATAGGTCTGACTGCCTCAGAAAATTTACAAAGATTCAAAAAATCTTGGAAACCCTATGTTGTTGCTGTTAGGTACTTGAGTTGGTTCCAACTCATAATAAGGACCCTATGCACAACAGAAGGAAACTCTGCCCAGCCCTCCTCACAGTCCTTGTGTTTGAGCCCATTGTTGCAATCACTGTTAATCCATCTCCTTGACAGTCTTCCTCTTACAGAAGCAGAAAGCCTCACCTTTATCATGAGGTATAGCTGGCTAGTTTGAACTGATGGCCTGCAAACTGAAGGATGCTAATTTACAGCATAAATAGACTATCAAACATAGCAACAGCAGAAGATAAGCTGGACTGCTAGGATCTCCTACAAATTAAATATTTATGCACATCAAAAGACTCCTTCAGAAATAGAGGAAAGAACTAGGAGGCAAAGGATATTTATAGATGTATAAATATAGGCACATACATACGTAAATATATTTATATATAATTATAGGGACAAAGACCTATGTACATATATTTGTGTGTTGAGTATTAGGATAGCAGATGGACATTGGGCCTCAACTCAAGAACTCCCTCAATGCAGGAACACTTTGTTCTATTAACCTGGCGTTCTGCGATGCTCACCTTCTCAACAAGATTGCTGACGACAAAATGGGTGCATAAGCAAATTTGTGGAAGAAATTTGATGGTGCCCGGCTATTAAAAGATATAGCATCTAGGCTCTTAAAGGCTCAAAGATTTTAAAAAGTGGCCATCTAGCTGGGAGACAACAAAACACATGGAGGAAGCACACCAGCCTGTCTGATCATGAAATGTCAACAGGATCAGGTATCAGGCATTAGAAGACCCAAAACAAACAACCGTATCAATGCAAACGATGGGGGTGGGAGAGCGGAGTAGAGACTGAAAACCCATCTGTAGACAATTGGACATCCCCTCACAGAAGGGTCACAAGGAAGGGACGAGCTAGCCAGGGTGCAGTATAGCATAGACAAAACACAGAACATTCCTCTAGGCCTTTAATACACACACACACACACATTATCATAACCCCAGTTCTACATTACAAATCTGGCTAAACCAGAGCATGTACATTGGTACAGATAAGAACACTTGACACACGGAATCCAGGACAGATAAACCCCTCAGGAACAGTAATGGGAATAACAATACCATGAGAGTAGGGGGAAGGTGGGGGGAGAAAGGAGGAACCAGTTGCAATGACTCCCCAGGGGCCACCCAGGGTGACGAACAACAGAAACATGGGTGAAGGGAGGCAACAGTATAATATAAGAAAATAATGTTAATTTATAATTTATCAAAGGTTCCTAAGAGTGGGGGAAGGGAAGGAAAAAACTGAGCTGATACCAAGGGCTCAAGTAGAAAGAAATGTTTAGAAAAAGATGATGGCAACATATGTACAAATGTGCTTGATATAATAGATGTATGGGTTGTTATAAGAGCTGTAAGAGCCCCCAATAAAATGATTTAAAAAAAGACTCCTTCAAACATGTATAAATAGAACCTACAGATTTTGAAAGCTGGGAAAGCAACAATATATCTGACAAGAACTAATCTCTAAAATTTATAGTAAATTCAATATCTCAACAACAAAAGATAACCCCAATTTACAAACCTTTTGGAGATATGTAACAATTTTTTTTGATATGTAACAATTTGAAAAAGCTCTCAGAAATTAACTGCATTGCCTAAACATAATGAGAAAGTTAGGAATGTCATGCATGCATAAAATATGTAGATATTAGTCTATTTTATCATTTAATATCATAAAATGCATGATAAAAATTGAAATTTACCAGAACTTACACACTCAAGCACTTCCAGACCATACATGGTGCCATTCACATTTGAGAGAAATGTAAACAGATGGAGAGATGTAGTGTTACATTATAAATCATCATTTCTTGTGCAGTGCTAATCATTTCCACAGGACAGTTTTCCCCTCTCCCCTCAATTGCATATCACAGTAAAAGGTGACCTCTTGTCTTGCTCACGTATTGTTTGCGTGTAGTCTGATACCATAAACCTCAATAATACCATGAGCCCCATGCAGAGTGTCACTAATGATGCTACAGGGGCTCCTAAAGAGCAGAGAAAAGGCGTGACATAAAAAGAAACATTGAAGTGCTTGATAGGTACCTTAGATTGAGGTCTGCAACTGTGGTTCTCATTTTAAGATAAATGAACACACACACACACACACACACACACCCCAAATGGAAAGGGAATTCATGAAACTGTAGCTAGATACTCCAGTAGGCATGAAAACCTTGAACTTTCTATAAAATAACCTTTTCCCCTCATTGAAATACAGCTTTTATGTGGGTGCACTATAATATACATACATTACATGAAAGTAAGTCAAAAAGTATAGCTATACAATCATAGAAACCCCGACTAAACAAAAACATAAAAGCATGTTTTCATCTATACACTTTTCAACACTGTTTTGAAGACTTCTACACTCTTCCATTTAAATCATGTCAAAACCACAGTTTGGAATTCTCAAGGGATGCAAATCTTTTCAGTGCTCTAAAATTCCTTTGAAATGTTGAGTTTGGGGAACACAAAGAAATTGGAAGAAGCAAGATCAGGGCTGTAGGGTGGATGGGGTGAGGTTTACCAATGGCATTCCTATAGCACAGCCCGCCCTCCCCTCGAAGAATGGGCAGGTACATTGTGATGGGGGTGGGGTGGGGGTGGGGCAGAGATGCCTTGGTGCAAAATTTCCTGGCCTTTTTCTCTGTGACGCTTTCAATTTTCTTAAAACTTCTTCACAATGAATCCTCATTATTGTCCTGTTTCCATCACGAAAATCTATGACGATTACTTCATTGGGGCACACACACACACACACAAACGGTTGGCATAACCCTCTGAGTTGACCTCTCCGCCTTCAATTTAACTGGCCCAGCAGGTCCCCTCAGAAGCCACTGTTCTGATTGGACATTTTCTTTGAAGGCCCCGTAAGGAGATGGAGACAAGTGTCTGACTGAGAGAACTTGTCTGCAGTCATCGACTGATCAAAGAGGTGTGTTTAGACATGGCTTGTTTGCAGTAAACCCAGGCGTGTGTGAACTGGAACCCCAGTGGCATTTGCCATCATATTTGTGAATCAACTGCTTCTCAGCAAGGCTTCGAATCAACAGTGGGCTATTAGTCGCTAGATTTGGGGACTCAACAGTTAGGAATCTTGGACTGCGTGGGAGGGTTGGTGCCCTTCCTCATCCTTCAAGGCCAGAACTGAACCCACCCTCCTGGTTCAGTTATCAGCCAAGCCATAGGCAGGCCTCTACGGTAAGCAATGGCAACAGAGGCACCCGAACGCCTTAGAATAATTGGACATGTGAGATCAAAAGGGCAGCTTTTGTCCAGGAGTAAAGCTTAGATGCCAGAAAGGGAGCAGGAAGATGCAGGAGCCAGGGAGCGGGAAAAGGAGGGCGATTGAAGATGGGGAAACCAGAGAGGAAGTGGACAGTGTTGTTACACCGCAGGTTTGCATTCAATGTCACGAAACAAAACTGTGTAGGAGTTGTTGAATGGGAAATCCCTTTTTCTTGTAATCTTGCACTTAAATCACAATTTTTAAAATTATTTTAAATCTACTAGCACAAAAAAGAAATACAGTGTATAGAGTTCCCTTCCCCTGCTCTGGCAGTATATATAAATAATTCCTCTGTGCTTGACATTAGTTGTGACTTTAGGACTTGCCCCTCTTACCCTTCTGATCTTCCCAACAGGCCGAGGACACTGGGTAGTAGCTCGGAAATCGAACTCCAAGAAGAAGGCCCAGGGTGCGACTGAGGCAGCTGAAGGCCAGGAGAACCGGAAGACGAGTTGTTTAGAGCTCAAGGGAAAGAGGCCATCGAGGTGGAAAAGCCAAATGGCTTTTCCTGGATACGTCCTGGACCGGGCTTTTCTGGTGAGAGTCAACGCATCCCGGAGTGGCTGGCAGCATCAGCTAGTGTCTGTCCTAGTGGGGAAAGAGGACTTGCCCAGCTCTGCCCTGACACAACTACCCCTAATCCCCTTCATGCCCCGCCTCCCATAGACTGACACTGGTACACTGAGGACAGTCGGGCTATGAAGGGACCCAATGCTTTCATTAAAGGAGGAAGGATTGAAGGAGGCCACTGTGTTGTATACAGCCTTATGAGATATGCGTTATCAGCTTTATTATATTGTCACCATTATGCAGATGAGAAAACCGAGGCTCTGAGAGATCATTTGAACTTCCCAAGACCCTCTATCTATTAAATGATTGGGCCAAGATTAGAAAACCCGGGTCTGCTGATTTCAAAGCCATGTCGGGTGAAAACTCACAATATGCTGGGGAGCGGGAGCAGACTTAGGCCACAGAAGAGTCCATTGAAGGTTCCATTCCAGGGGCTAGTAGCATGTGGACATTGCTGCTCTCCTCGATGGCGTTCTCTGCAGGGGCAGGGGGGCTGTGGAGGCCTGGTCTTTCGCAGCCTTTCCCCTGTTTTAGTGCCTGGCTGAAAGCCAGGGCGCTGATCAAAGATCACCTAGAGTAGTAGGGGTGGGGAGCCTTTTTCTGCCAAGGGCCATTTGAATATTTATAACACCATTCAAGGGAGGGCCATATCGGTCAAACATTTAATTCACTCAACCTTAATGTAATGCCTGGAACGGCTTCTCGTTGGTAAGGTGTATGGCATTCGCTATTATTGACCATTTTAGCGCTTCCTAATGTTCCTCACCCTTGGCCTAAGCATGGGCGGGCTTAGTGCGGAGGGCTGGCTGGCTGGGTGGCTGTCTTAAAGACAGGCCAGTCCGTTTCACAAGTGATCACTGCAGTGCCTCGATGGCTCTGCAAAAACTCACTCTGTAAATGCATATTAATGTGCAGTTGGGTTCTCATAGCTCCCTTAGAGGACTCTCTTGGTCCCCAGACTCTGCTTATGCTTCTCAAAAAACTGGTTTTTGCAAAACCCAAATATTGAAAGACCGCTTAAGGAGGCCGTTGGTTTGAGCGTCTCGAGTGGGTGTTGTAAGCTCTTGGCAGAGCCCTGTGGAACCGTTCTCATTATTGCCTCACTTCTCGTTGGGGGAGGAGGAATACAACACTTTCCCTGATATTTATCTAGTAGTAAGGAAGGGCAGAGACACTTGTCGGGGTGGCCTTTTCAATTAGCCATGGCATATTACCTGTGTTGCCTCTTGGGGGTCAGCAGTGTTTTCCAGAGCATAGGGTACCCACCTACCTATTGCCTAGATCCCCTTGAAGCTTTCACTGACTCTTCAAATTGAACTAAGGCACCTGCCCCCGCCCACCACCCCCAACACACACACACTTCTCCACGTTCTGAAACATACTTCTTTCCTGTGATGGCATGACTGTTTTCTCAGTCATCGAGCCAGCCGCTTGGGGTTATCCTTGACTCTGGCCACTCCCTCTTCACCCAAACCTCAGGCCCTGATGCTGCCAATACACCAGGTCTTGAATCTGTCCTCTCCAGCTGGCACCTTCATTTATTGGACTAAGCCAGTGACTTCCTAACTAGTTCAAGCCTATTAGGATAACAGATAACAGAAGAGTGAAAACCAAACCCATTCCTCTCGAGTCCCTATTCTGACTCGTGCTGACCCCCTTGGGCAGAGTGGAACCGTCCCCAGAGAATTTCCAAGGCTGTACATCTTGACGGCAGCTGACCCAGTTTCCTCCTGTGGCACCGTTGGGGGTTCTAACTGCCAAGTTTTCACGAGGCTCCTCCAAAGGTTTAAAAAATATCTCTTATTTCACATGAGAAGATTCCTGAGGCATTTTTAGTCCTGCACAGGTTAATCCGCTGGCTCGTGGACATTTTCCAGGGCCCAGGTTTCTTCCCTCTTTCTGCTCTGGCACATGGGCCTGTCCTCTTAGGGTGACTGCCTTCAGGAGCCTGAGATGGGCGCAGCAACTGCAGCCATCCCCTACAGAGAATACCATCCAGGGACAGAAAGGGGGTTCTCACGGTCTTGTGTCCATTTTTAAAGTGAAGGAAACGCTCCCCCTCCCCGGGCTCCTCCTGTTCCCCGCAGCGCGTGCCTCTGGTCAGACTTCCTTCACATGTCTGCACACAGTCATTGGTAGAGGGAGGGAGATCTCCATGACTGGCTTACCCTTACTCCCTGAAGCTGGAGCTAAACTTTCCAGGAGGACATGTCATCTCGGAGAAATGTCATTAAAATTGGTAAATAAGATGTAAGCAAAATAAAACTTAAGGCAAAAGTAGAGACATGGCTGCAAGGAAGGTAATTCACTGCATGCCACACGAGTCTCTCGCTTCCTCTTCTGTGTCCTCACCCGCTCTATGTAGGAGCCAGCAATCTTTCCTAGCACAGTCTGATTCCATCAGCCCCCGCTTGTGGTTGTTGTTGGGTGCCGTCACTCGGGTTCTATCTCACAGCGACTCTGTGAACAACGGAACGAATACCACCCTCTCCTGACACACCCTCACACCTGCTTGTATGTTTGAGCCCCAGGTGGCGGCCACTGAGTCAATCCGTGTTGCTGGGGCCTTCCTCTTTGTCACTGCCCCTCTACTTTACTGAGCACGATGTCCTTCTCCAGGGACTGGTCTCTCCTGACAACATGCCCACAGTACATGAGACAAAATCCCACCATCCTTGCTTCTAAGGAGCATTCTGACAGTACGTCTCCCAAGACAGACCTGTTTGTTCTTTTGGCAGTCCATGGTACGGTCAAGATTCTTCGCCAGCACCATAATTCAAATGCATCTGCTCTGCTTCAGTCTTCCTTATTCAAGGTCCAATCGTCACATGCAGTTCAGGCTATTGAAAATACCATAGATTGGGTCAAGCACACCTTAGTCTTCAAAGTAACATCCTTGCTTTTCAGTTCTTTAAAGACATCTTCTGCAGCAAACTTACCCAATGCAATGAGTTATCGGGTCACTTGACTGCTGCTTCCATGTGCTTTGATTGTGGACCCAAGCAAGATGAAATCCTTGACAACTCCAATCTTTTCTCTGTGTATGATGGTGTTAGCTAATGGTCCCATTGTGAGGATTTTGGTCTCTTTTACATTGAGTTATAATCCAAGCTGAAGACTGCAATCCTTGATCTCCATTAGCAAGTGCTTCTAGTCCTCCTTCTCCTCTACCACCACCTCCTCTTCCTCACTCCCAGCCAGTAAGGTTATCTGCACGTCACAGGTTGTTAATCAGCCTTCCTGCAATCCTGATGCCACATTCTTCTTCATAGAGTCAGATTGTCTGATTATTTGCTCAGCATAGAGACTGAATAAATATGGTGAGAGGATACAACCTTTACATACCTCTTCCCTGATTTAAACTGTGCGGCATCCCCTTGTTTTGTTCACACAACTGCCTCTTGATCTATGCATGGGTTCTGCTGAGCACAATGAAATGTTCTGGAATTCCCATTCTTCTCAAGGGTATCCATAGTTGGTTATGATCCACATAGTGGAATACCTTGTAATAGTCAAATGAAACACAAGTAAACATCTTTTTGGTATTCTCTGCTTTCTGCTGAGATCCATGTAACATCGACAATGATATCCTTGTTTCACATTCTCCTCTGAATCCGGCCTGAATCTCTGGCAGCTTTCTATCAATGTACTGCTGCAACTGTTGTTGGATGATCTTCAGCAAAATTCTACTTGCATGTGCTATTAATGATATTGTTCTATACTTGTTTTGGGATGGGTACAAATATGGATTTCTTCCAGTCAGCTGGCCAAGTAGCTGTCTTTCAAGTTTCCTGCAAAGAAGAGTGAGTGCGTCCAGATTGTTGAAACATTTCAGTTGGTAATCCATCAATTCCTAGAACTAACCATGTTTTGGGCTAATGCTTGCAGCGCATCTTGGACTTCTTCACTCAGTACCACTTGTTCTTGCTTATGCGTATGCTACCTCTTGAATGGTTGGATGTTGACGAATTCTTTTTGGTACAGTGGCTCTGTGTATTCTTTCCATCTTCTTTTGATGCTTCTTACACCACTTAATGTTTTCCCTATAGAATCTTTATTTTTAAGTTTTCTTAAAAAAATAGTTCAATTGTTCAATCATATCGAGGAGAATTGTACAATCACTACCCATCAATTTTAGAGTATCCTCTCCCTCCATGGTTAAGTCACCTTTAAAATGAGTTGTGCAATCACAATCAGTTCTAGTAGAATCTTTTAATATTGCAACTTGAGGCTAGATTTTTTTTTCTTGAGTTCTTTCAAGATATGCTGTGTTCTTTTTGGATTTTAAACTCTAGATCTCTGCACATTTCAATATAATATTTCACTTCATCTTCTCTATATGCCCCTTGAAATTTTCTGTTCAGCTCTTTTACTTCATCGTTTCTTGCATTTGTCTTAGCTACTCTATAATTAGAGCCAGTTCCAGAGTCTCTTCTGATATCCACTTTCATTTTTTTCTTTCTTTCCTGTCTTTTTAATGACCGTTTGCTTTCTTCCTGTATGATGTTCTTGATGTCATCCCACAGCTCAGCAAGAATTCTGTCATGAGTGTTCAGTTCATCAAATCCGCTCTTGAGATGCTCTTGAAGTCCAGGTGGGATAGACTCACAGTTGTATTTTGGCTCTAGACTTGTTCTGGTTTTCTTCAGCTTCAACCTGAATTTACATATGAGCAATAGATCGTTTTTTCCACAGTTGGCCTCTGGCCTCATTTTAGCTGCTGATATTGAGCTTCTCTTTGTCTCTTCCCACAGATGTAGTTGATTTGATTTCTGTGTGTTCCATCTGGAGAAGTCCACCTGTATAGTTGCCGTTTGTCTTTTTTTTTTTTAAGTAGTTGCTATGAGCAAATCGTTGGTCTTGCAAAATTCTGTCATGCAAGCTCCAGCTTTGTTTCTATCACCAAGATGGTATTTCCCGTCTACTGTTCCTTCGTCTTTATTTCCAATGCTTGCATTCCAATTGCCAATTATCAATGAATCTTGGTTGCATGTTTCATCAACTTCAAACTGAAGGCGTTGGTAGAATTCCTCCATTTCTGCATCACTAGTGTTAGTGGTTGGTGCATAAATTGGAATAATAATTGCATTGAGTTTCCTTGTATATGAATAGCTTGTTATCCTATCATAGACATTTTTTTCTAATATCGATCTTGAAATGTTCTTTTTTGGTGGTAAATGCAATGCCATTCCTCTTGAATCTGTCGTTCTTGCATAGTGACCCGTATGATTTTCTGATTAAAATGGCCGATACCAGTCCATTTCAGTTCAGCCTAGAATTTTGATCTTTATGTGTTCCATTTCATTTTTGACAACTTCCAATTTTTGTGTATTCATATTTTTACACTTCAACTTCCAATTACTTATTGCTGTTTCTTTCCCTATTCAGTGACGCCCCATCAGCTCAGGCAGGTCCCGAAGGCTTGACTCCCACAGGCTTCCCTCCATCCGGGTCATTATGTCCGACTCTCCCTTGAGACGGCAGCACTTCGCTGTCACATTCGAGTGCTGACTTCGGCACCATGTCTGACAGTGTTCTGCTGCTTCTCAGGAGCTTCTCCCTATTTGACCATGTCCCATGCTAGCCACAGGTTTTCAGTGGCTAATCTCTCTAACGAGAAGCGACTCCTTCTTCATCGTCTCTTCTCAGCCTGGAAGCTCTGCTGAAACCTGTCCACGTGGGTGACCCTGCTGGCATTTGTCATTCCGGTGGCATAGCCTCCAGAATCACAGCCACACAAATCACCACGGAACGGCAAACTGACAGATAAGGAAATGAATGGAAACCTTGAGTGATTTTGTGTTGGCGCTGGAACAGAGGCCACACGTCTGCACAGAAGATAACATCGACCCACAGCTTTACGACTGCACGTCTAGCCTCATTGTGCTTTATCCTCACCGCCCCTGTGAGTTTCCGAGACTAGAATCTTTGTGGGCGCCTCGAACGCCCTCGTGGTTTCAAGCTGCTCGCCTTTCAGATCGCCGTCTCAGTCGCCCGAGATGCCTTCACTGCCCCTGCTGTTCATTTCAGGGGCCAACGCCTGCTCAGCTCTTAGGCCTCAGCTGAAATATTACTTCCTCAAGTAACCTTTCCTCTTTTCCAGACTGATGTGGAGATTCCCTGTTTTGTTTGGGTTCCCCCCACCCCTCACACAGCATTTTTCATTTCTCTTTTGGAATCTTTATCACATTTATAAGTATTTGCTGACTCCTTGGCTTCCTGTGACCCAGGAAGCTCTCAGCCACCATCGGCTGTATCTGCTCCCTCAGGGTCCCCCCCTTATCAAACATAATAGGTCCCGAGTACACGACAGACAGAAAAGGGAATGACGTCTGAGAAGCCCCCAAGTGGAGCGCTCCTGCTTACTGTTCTTTTTGATGCTGAGGGGCGACATGGAGCGATTGGAAGAGTACCGAGCTTGGTGATGACAGATTTGGATCCGAACCACAGGACTTTCACTTAACCATGAAACCTTATGAAAGACACTTACCCCTGGCTTTTTATTTTAACAATATGTCCGAGAGTCCAGTCGAGATCAGGAGAAAGCTGGTTGATGTATTTAGTATAGCACATGGCCAGAGTAGTGCTCAATAAATAATTGATGAATAAAAAAAAATGAGTGAGTCAATGAAGAAGCAAGCAAATGGCGAGCCTGTGTAAGATTGCCCACCGAGAGAGCCGAACCAAACTCTCAGAGAGGAGACGCTGAGGCTGCAGAAACAGAGGTTTCCTCAAAGGGCCCAGAAAGGCAGAGAGGAAACCACCAGGGAACGGCAACGTGGTAACATGTTCAACATGTTTACAACATGGCAAAGTCCTGATGACTCCCCCCATGTTCTGGAGGTGGAGGAGCTGAAAGGGCAACTTAGCTCTGAGCAACTCACAGCCCACGCTCTTTCCACTACCCCAAGCAGCTTTCCCCCATGGAGAGCCATTTGCTGTCTCAGAAAATAATCCTCCCTGAGCTTTGTTGGGTCTTTCTGAGCTGACTCTGCTTTGTGTTCCAGCTGAAGCACCACTGCGTGAGGAAGCCCGCGGACCTGGCCAGCATCAACGTGAGCGGCCTGAAGTTCTCCAAGGTAAGGCCAACCCCACACCAAGGCCCCCCGGGGGCCACCAGGTCCGTGCCAAAGCAGCACAGGTGTCATGGGGTGAGTGGGCCTGAGGGGGCATCTGGCCCTTCTGATCCGTGCATTGCCACCTCTGGAACCCTGAGGGCCTTGAAATCCGCTCATGTGTCAGGCGAGACGGTCAGAGACGGAGTCCTGGGTGGAAAGAATATTCAGCACAGAATTGTGCTTGTATTTGCTGTTGCTGTGGCCCCACGTGGGAAGAGAATAGCCTTATGACACTGGGTTTGACTTTGCAATATTTGTTGGGGTGTGATTAGCCATGTGACCCTGAGTTTCTCTCACCAGCAGCCTGTGGGACACATCTCCGTGTGATTCTTATTGCCAGGAAGGTTAGGGCTCTCCCACGTAGCTGCCTTGTCCTCACCTCACAGATAGTGACTCGTGGAATGAACCAGCTTTCGTTCTTTGCGTTGGCTGACAGGCAGCTTGGAGACAAATTTTCAGCCCACCATTTGCCAGGATATTGGGGTGCATGTTTGCCATAAAAAGCACTCTCTTGGTTTGTCTGTGGAGCAGGGTTAAAAGCCATGGGATGGCCACATTAGTGGTGAAGCTGGCTGCTCCCTAAGGGTTCTGCCTCACTTCAGCGAGCACTCATCTGCTCAGAATTGAGTCGCTTAAGGACAAGTCAGCCATAGAAATGCGAGAGGCCTAATGGCTTAACGCGTTATGCACTGGGCTGCAAAACACCAGGTCAGCAGTTCAAACCTACCAGCCACTCTGCGGGAGAAAGGTGAGGCTTTCTGCTTCTGTCAAAATGCCTCTTTGAAATCCACAGGGGCAGCTCTACTTTGTCCGTATGAGCCAGAATTGAGTCAATGGCAGTAAGTGTGGTTTGGTTTGGTCTGGGGGCTGAGAGGCCTTCTAGAACAGGCTAGCACACTGATCTCCAAAGGTGTTCGTATAGAATTCTCATATACTTCTGAGACAGCTCAGCAGAGGCCTCTCTCAGAGCAATTGTTGAGAGCATCAACTTGGACTGGCCAGAGCAGCCTCTCCTCCCACCCAGTCACACCTCACTCAGTCACTCACGCACACACCTCCCCACCAGGCAGGACTGAGGCTAACCCTGGTTCCGAGGGCCCAGAGGTGGCTCAGACACTGTCCCTGGCCCACTTAGAGAGCTGAGTCCAGTGGGCAAGGAGGACGGGCTTAGTCAGAGAGGGGATGGGAGCATTCCGTTCTAATGCTTTGTTTCTTAAAGACACTTGAAGCAAAGGCAGCAAAATACTCAGATGTGTTAATGCTGGCTAACGGGTACTGGGATCTTCAGAGTATCTGTCACTACACTTTTAATATATTTCATAATAGTAAGCTTTAGAAGGAACAAAGACGTTTTCAGAGCCCTCAGAAAACAGTGGCTCCTATGGCAAGGATGTGCCTTCTCCCTTTGGACCTTGGTTTCTCCTAACAGCAGCTCCAGCGCTTCAGCAAGACGTCCAGGCAGCGAAGTAACCCCGGGCTTCTTCTAAAATTCCTTCCCACAGGTGAAGGACAAGGACTTCAAGCACTTCCATTCCGTTATTTACATCAATGCCTCAGAAAACCTGCTGCCTCTAGGTAAGCTTTTTCTTCCCCACAGCCACCAGGCGCCTCTGGATTGGAACAGCCAGCTGCTGTGAGGCCCCCTCTGTGGGTCCATCCAGACTGGCCTTGCATTTCCTTTCTGAAGAACAAGAGGCTGGGGCTGGAGAACAGAGCTGGATTCAGAACATCATCTCCATGCAGCGGAAGTGAAGATCACCTCCTCCTTCTCTTCCTCCCCCAACAGGGGGCCCTGCAGAGTGAGATGAGATGGGTGCATAGCAGTCTGTAAGCCGTCCTGGAGCTGAAAGCCTCCTGGTGCGGGCCGCAGAGCCACAGCGCCCCCTGCTGGGGGCCAGGACTCTGCACTGGTTGGCTTTTAGAAACCAGGGCGCCCAGTTCCTCCTGCTTGTGGTTCGGTGGGAGAGGCCTCCCACACTGACAGAGGGACAGCAGAACGTACTGAGCGCAACAAGAGAGGCATTGGAAAGTGTCAAGTCAGCACATCAGTGGGACGTCCACCCGGACCAGGAGGTCAGGACAGACGTCTGGGGAGCACTTAAGCCCAGGCCGAAAACGCAAATCGGAATGACTCAGGAATTAGTAAGAAGGCATTTCAGGCCGCGCTGTCAGGGAACCTGAAGAGACGCTGCGTATTTGTGAAAGGTGCACGTAGGGGAGAACTGAAACTAGAGAGGCGGGGAGGGACTAGAGCAGTGGTTCTCAACCTTCTGATGCCGCAACCTTCTGATTCCTCGTGCTGTGGTGACCCCCAACCATAAAACTATTTTTGTGGCTACTTGATCACTGTCATTTGGCTACTGTTATGAATCGGGCAACCCCCGTGAAAGGGTTGTTCGACCCCCAAAGGGGTTGCGACCCACAGGTTGAGAACCAATCGCTGGACTAGACTCATCAGGGGTCCTGAGTAGCTGGGACTTTATCCTACAGGACAAAGAAAGCCCCTGGTCGGTGGCCTCTAAAGTGGCAGCGTGAGGAGGCCTGGAAACCAGGGAGACTGTTAGCAGGGGAGGGCCAGGGAGGCTGAGGCAGGAGGGGAAGGGCGAGCAGCAGGTCGGAGGGGGAGAACTCACAGGGCTCTGTTCTGATTGGCCCCCAAACAGAGAGCACCGCAGGAAACTCTGTTGACTTGAAGGGGTGTTTTTGTTTGTTTGTTTGTTTGTTTGTTTGTTTGCCTAAGCATGCGATGAGGTCCTTGCCCTTGAGAGACAGGGTGGTCTGTTAGGAGCATAGGTTTAGAACAGAGAGGCCAATGTTGTTGGGGGTGCCAGCAAGTCCCTTCCGACTGGCGACTCCATGTGCAGCCACAGGGTGTTCTTCACCAAGTCTTTCTCTGGAGGAGCCCCTGGGATGGCTCAAATGGCCAGCCTTGGTTGAGTCACGGAATTAGTGGCCCCTGCACTACCTTCAATGAAGGCCAAGAGACATAGGAAAGGATGCTTAGCCTCACTAATGATGAACTATCACACACACCAAAAATCGCATATACCTACACGCCCCCCCTACTACACACACACCAAGCAATGTCTAAAATTTTAGATTGTCAATGTTTTAATATAGTGACCTCCAGGAATGTATTCTACAGAAATACACCTCTGTAAGGGTAAGGATGCTCATGGGAAACATTCTGAACCCCCACCAAGCAGGCTTATGAGGCTCAAGTGAACCCATCCGTCTCATATACTTGGGCCATGCTGTCAGGAGAAACTAGCTCCTGAAGGAAGTCATCATTCCGGGGAAGAAGATCGGCCATTAAAAAGAAGAAGACCTGCAGCAGGGTGGATGGACACAGTGGCTGCGGCAGCAAGCTGACGCATAACCACAGCTGTCAGGACGGCGCAGGACCAGGCAGGTTTCATTCTGTCATTCGCAGGGTCACCGTGAGTCAGAACTGACTGGGCGGTCCCTAAGAACAGAAACAACACTACACTGTCTGACTCCCAGGGATACCGTAGACCGCCATGGCACCAGATGCCCGTAGAAGGCTCTCAGTGGTCCCACACGTCCCACACCGCACAGCAGAAGGGCTGCTTTGTCCGCACAGCTGCCCAGGGACCATACTCTCTGTCCCGCCCTCCCCTCCCCTTCCCCAAGTGTTAGCTCAGGTGAAAGGCGACAAGGCTCTCGTTCCATGGATGCAGGAGCCACCATGGTTTAAAAACATGTGCTTCACAGGAGCCAGTGTCCCTGGTGACGACGCTCTATAGGCGTCCCACCACTGCCATTAAGTCAACACCCACTTGTAATGATCCTATAAGGCAGAGTGGCATGAATCCACAGCATTTCCCACGCTGTAAATCTTTACAGAAGCAGTTCGCTGACCTTTCAGTCAACAGTCCAATACTAATCAATCCACCAGGACTCCTTCCCGCAGGGGACATGTTCAGATATCAGAGTCATGGCATGCAGGAAGTAGGGGCCCTGGTGGAAGAGTGGTTCCCAGTTGGGCTGCTAACAGCAAGGTCAGCAGTTTGAAACCACCAGCTGCTCTGAGGGAGGAAGTCGAGGCTTTTTGTTCCCATAAGGAGTTAGTCTCAGAAAGACACGGGGACAGTTCTACTTTTCGTTTCTTTTTTTTTTTTTTTACAGGCTTGCTATAATCCGAGTCTACTGGAGGGCAGTGAGTTCAAATTAAGTTGCAGGAAAGCCCAAGGCCATGGCATCGCCTTCAGGAATTTACAGTTCATTTATAGCTTCTAGTCCAGATGGCAATTTGAGATCCTTTCTAGCATGAGCAATATTACTTGGTAACTCTGCTAACATACCAGTTGTTTCAGGTTACCAGTCTAAAAATGTAACCCAGGGACCGATGTTCACACAGAAAAGGGGAAGTTTGGATACCTGTTATGCACCTAGCCTAAAGGCCATCAAGTGGGTCAATGAAGTAGGGTCTGTCTATACTACAGAATACCACTCAGTCATTCAGCACATCTATGTATTTCTGCATAGAAAACAATTTAAGTAAGATTGTTAGAGGCAAAAGCAATGTAAAAAGAAATGTGTGTGTGTGTGTGTGTGTGTGTGTGTTCTGGTACGCACAGGAGAAAAAGTCTAGTTTTATCCCCAAAGCATTCAGTAGTTATCCCTGGCTGTTGGGGTGGGAGGGAGCTTTCTTTTCTGTGATGTTTGACGTTTTTGCAGTGAACAGGACTTACTTTTACACTCAGAAATGTTCTTGTCAGGAGCCATCAAGTCGGTTCTGACCCAAAGAGACCTTACGCACAACAGAACGAGACACTGCCCGGTCCTGCACCGTCCTCAGTTATTCCCACGTTGCAGCCAGAGGGTCAGTCCATCTCCGCGAGGGTCTTCCTCTTTCCACTGCCCCCTTCTCCAGGGACGGCTCTCTCCTGATCACATGCCCAGAGTACGTAAGACAGTCTCACCACCTTGCCTCTAAGGAGCACTCTGGATGTATTCTCCGAGACACATTTGTCCTTTTAGCGGTCCATGGCACTTCAGTATTCTCCACCAGCACCACGATCAAACGGCATCGATTCTTCGTCTGCCTTCCGTGCTCCATGCTCAACTTCCACGTGCATATGAGGCTGATGAAGATACCACAGCTTGGATCACTTAGTACTCAAAGTAATGTCTGGGCTTTTCAATACTGTAAAGAGGTCTTGTGCAGCAGATTGACCTAATGCAGCACATCTTTTAACCTCTTGACTGCTGCTTCCGTGAGCGTTGATTGTGGACCTGAGGGAGAGGAAATCCTTGACAGCGTCACGCTCTTCTCCACTGACCGTGGTAAGACCGACTGGTCGCGTCGTGAGGACGTTGGCCCCTTTCCATTGAGTTGTCCTCCACAATCCACACTGAAGGCTGCAGTCCTCGGTCTTCATCAGCCACGTCTTCAAAAACAATAAAGATCCATTTTAGATGGGCTTTCAGGTCTGGCCGACTTAGAATCCTTAGCTCCTCGTCCACCCAGCGATCACCATTTCCAGTGACTCCCTCGGCCTGGGTGAGCCTTGGTTTCCCCAGCTGTAGACCGGAGGTACTAATGTCCATATATCAGTGCTGCTGAGAGCGCTAGAGGTACTTAGAGCACCTTTAGCAAATCTAGGTGGAGGGTCGGGGAAGGCGGGCAGTAAAGGGTCTTTGTCAACATTGTTTCTTTCAGTCTTTTACAAGCTGCAGACTCCTTCTTTTTCTCCCTGTGTAGAGGCATTTCACACATTTCCAGCCCTAAAGGAGTTGGAGCTAGCACTTAATAACATCAAAACCATCTATGTGAAATATGGAGACTTCAAGTGCCTGGAGGTAAGTTGAAAATAGGTGGGGGGAGGGGGTTGCTTACCCATTCTCCTGTACGGAATTGAGGTAGAGTTTGTGTGATTTTAACTGTTTGGAAGGAGTTTTCTCAGTCTTTACAGCTAGGACCTTGTCTCAGGACTGGCCTTCCCGGGATGGTGGTAGGATAGAGACTGTGGGTTTGGGTGGTGGTGATGGCGGGGGTGACAATGACAGCAAGTAGATGACAATATAGTACACCTGTCGCTAAGGTAGGAGCAGCAGTGGTTCAGCAGTAGAATTCTCACCTTCCAGGCGGCAGACTTGGGTTCTATTCTTAGTCTACCCCAAGTACAGCTACCACCCCTCTGGCAGTAAAGTCTTACCTGTTGCCGTGATGCTGGAACTCAAGGAGTCCTGATGGCATAATGGTTACATGTTGGACTGCTAACTGCAAGGTCAGCAGTTCGAAACCACCAGCCAGAGAAAGATGGGACTTTCTATTTCCGGAAATCACCTGGGCAGTTCTACCCTGCCCAGAGGGCGTGAGTTGGCATCGATTTGATGACAGTGAATTTGTTTGTTTGTGGTGATGCTGAACAAGTATCAGTGGAGCCTCTAGACTGAGACAGACTAGAAAGACAGACCAGGCAATTAAAGATATCAAGTTTACACCCTCTGACAGCCACACAGTTTGTGGGTGGTGCACACGAGGCAGCATGAGTCAGCGGCTGACTGCAGTCAGCAATATGCCACGGCACGTGGTCCTGTGAGACATGCCAGAGCCATGTGCAGAAATGTGTCTAAACAGTGTCATGGCAAGGGAAGATTGAGAGGCGATCTGGATGCGGTGGTAGCTGAGGCATTTTGGAAGTAAACAGCTGGGCACAGCCGGTTGGACTGACATAGACCCTAATGGACAGCCTGATATGAGAGAGCCGTTCTGCCCGAAGTGAGCCAGATGTATGAGGCTTCTTGGGTGGGAAATACCTCAGTTCTGGGCTTGGCATGAGAAAGAATTCACGCCGAAGCCTGGTTTGTGATCCCAGTGGGTTTTTATAAAGGACGGAAGAAATTTCAGGTGTTACAGCCACTGAACATGGGCCACCTCATGTGACTCACACCCACATAAGGTGACCTGGGACCAGAGGGACCGCAGCCTGGCTGAACAGAAGGGCGAGGAAGAAGCAAAAAGGAAGGGACCAGCTCCTGGTCCAGGTATTTGAGGCCTCTCACTGGGAAGCATAGTCGAAGGTATTGGTTGACCCCATTGGCTGAATTAAGCCCACCTGGGCCAAGTTTGGGCCGCCTAGGTGTACC